GAAGCCATGCTCAGGCCATGTATTGTGGGCAGGTGCTATTCCCTCCCCTTGCCACTGCTCTGAGCACCTGAGGGTCTGGCAGTGAGTGTGGTCATACAAACAGTGGGATTTAGGGAGGCCGTGCTCATAGCATCTATTACCCAGGAGCATAGCTCTTTACAAGATCAGGAGGTAGGTTTCTTCTCCTGAAGAAAAAGTAATTCTTCCTTTCTGCCCATTTCCGCTCAGTGCGCACGTACACAATAAAATCCCACACTTCCCAAAATGGGGAGTGATTCATGCTTGCAAGTTTAAAATAATGAAGTTAGTAATGCACTGAACTGATTTAACCTTAGCTCCCTCTGTTGACGGTTAATCTCTCAATTTATGTTGCCCTTTTGGCCTGTAACAGCTGTTGATGGCATGAAAAATTGGCTGAACTGCAGTCAGGCTGGGGCTGTGTATGTTTGTTGCATGAAGCTCTTGGACAGAAGCAGAAGACACCTTAGGAAAACTTCTGGAAGCTTTAGGGCTGGGAGAACAAACCAGTCAATATCATAATGCATTAAATAAAGCTTCTATGAAACCTGGGTGGAGAGACATCCATTTAGGTCACATGTCTTTCTTTTGGACGGCAGCAGAGTCATCTTCATGGGAGGATTTTCGGTTAAACACCCGCAACTCAGTTTGCATTTTGACAGTTTGCCTCTTGGTCATGGATCAACATCTACTTTTCTTGCAGCTGCCCAAGCCCATGGACAGCTCTGTTGCATGGTGTGTCTAGTGGTTGTGTGGACTCACCAGGTCAGTGAAAGGATGTTTTCTGTGTGTTATATACAGGGACACAAAGACATTAACTAAATGCCACGTTTTCTATCTTGGTCAGAATGGAAGCTCTCTTAGTTTGAAAGCCCTGGATAAATGCAGAGGAAGTCACATGGATTAAAATTAAATCCAAGATTTAGTTCGGCAGATGTCCCTTTCAGAGCATTCGTAGGCTATTACGGGATCAGGGCAGATCTCTTGCCCTGTGATTCCCTAAGTATTGTGGGATCACTCTGGCTGTTGACTCACAGCCAGCCCTTCCCCTCCTCTTCTTTCCCAGTTCCTGTGCTACCTTGCGCTCCAATTAATAGTTAAGCAGGAGTTTTGAAGTGAGATACAGCATCTCATGTTTTTGAACTTGCTTTGTTTTAAGTCCCTTAGGTGAGCTAGCTTGCTTACTGTGTGTGCCAGTTGAAACATCTGTAGCAGAAGTGTCTCCTGATGTCTTGCTTTGGGAATAGTAGGGGTCCAGCTCCACCTAAGCTGAAATGGGAGTAAGTACATGACTGTGCTGCAGGCTTTTCCCTACTGGGAGGGAAATCCCAACCAGGCTTTTACAGTGAACCAACTTTGGCACTGCACATCACCATCTTATCGAGACTGGTAACCTGTAGTTAGTGCTTCTACTTGTGTGTCCAGGAGAATAAATCTACTCAAGCCAGAAGTTTCACATCAATTTAGATACAGCTGTCATGTTCACTTCTTTAGTAATTTTCTCACCCCATCCCTGACTTTTATATTTTTATTTATTTTTATTACAGTATTATGGTGCTATTACAGATTTGACAAAATAAATATTTAGTATAAGATATAGGAAGTGAATAACAGCTGTCATAATTTTTAAACCCCTTAAAATGAGGGATATTAGGCCTGTACGTAGAAACCTGAAAATGCACCAAAGGTGCTTGATCTTTTATGTTTATAAAAGAGGTGGTGAATGCTCCATCCCTGGCAGTGTTCAAGGCCAGGTTGGACAGAGCTTTGGGTGACATGGTGTGCGGCGAGGTGTCTCTGCACGTGGCAGGGGGGCTGGAATTAGAAGATCCTAAGGTACTTTCCGACCCAAACCATTCTATGAGTCTATGTAATAAATGTCAGCAGTTTGCCTTTTGGAAAGCAGTAAATTCAGACAAAGAAACCAGCTTCAGACAGCCCTAATGTTTGGCAATTGCAACTGAAGTTTACAAACAGTTTTGCTCAAAGAAATGCTGGGAGGTATTGAAAGGCCTTTTTTTTGTTGTTTTTTTTAAGTTGACATGTTTAAAATTTTTATTGTGAGTCAATGTTCTTGGTGCTTTTCTCGAATTTGAAATCTAACCGTAAAAAAAAGTGAGTGTATTTTAAAAACAACATCTGTGGGAATATAACCATATTCTAATATTTGCAGCTTGCTTTGTTCATGCATATGGCATTGCTTTGTTTACTATATTCTGTATTCAGAAGGGTCACAAATACATTTGAAAGAAATTATCCATTCTTAGTCAAAAGTCCTTCCAGTGTTACTATAGCTCTAGTAAAAGGCAGTGTTTAATGACCAATGAGATTATTAAAGAAGCAATAATGAGGTTTGATTTTGAAGCAGAGAAGCTTAGAGAAGTAATCAACTACAGAGAAGCCTGCAGTTTGGGGGTTTTGAATTTAGATAATAACTTCTTTTACTTCTGCTCCTGGCAGCAGGGAGCTTTTGTGCATAGAAGAGTGGAAAGCATCAGCTGAAAAGATTCATCTTCGATTTGCTACTTGGAGAGCATAAGCACTGAAAAGCAGACTGTTAGACAGAGTTCTTCATGTTCAAAAGTGGTCTCTTGGCTTTATTCATAAGAAGTAGGGAAGTTCATGGGTGCTAGTGGTTGTATATGAAAGACCCTGATACAAAGCCTGTTGAAGCTTGCTAAGGACTTGTGCTAACTTCAGCAAGCTCCTGTCTCAGCTGCTGGGTTTGCATTTGAGAATCTGGGCAAGACCATAATGGATCACTTAGATGAAGCACTTGGAATTACTTTTTCCAGTGCATTTGCTTCAGCATTTCATGTAAATAACGCTTGGTCCTGAGTTAGCTGGCAGACTGTTTACTTTCTTTATCTTAGCCCTCCTACTTATGAGAAACTGGCCAAGGTAATGAAAACTTGGTTACCCTATAGAATGTATTATCCTAAAGCTTCTCTGCCTTTGCAGAGGAGCAATGACATTCTTCTGCACCTATAAGGAGTTACATGCATACAGGATATTTAAGCACAAATTCTTGATGAATTGCCAGAGGATCCATCTATTAAAAAGATGCAGGTCACCATAGAAACAGAGTAGAGGTCCTTGGTGTGTCAGCTGACAGCTAACCCATGCTCTTTTGTGGTCTTTGTACTGATGCTTTGTTTCCCATTACATCTTGCAGAAATTCCTTCATGAAACGTTAAAAACCACATAGCCAAGTCAAGGCCAGTCAGCTGCTTTTCCGATTTCAATTAATGTTTTGTTATCGGTCTACCAGAGTGAAGTAAGAGTTAATAATTAATTATCTATGTACAAGTGAGATTTGTTTCTCATTTCATGCATGTGATCAAAGTATTGCCTGTTCATGTTTGAATAGTTAAATCACAAGTTTTGTCCCCTTGTGGGCCCTTGCAATTGTATCACATTGCAGGAGCAACTACGTAAAGCAATCAGATGTACTTTATGAGTCTGAGAATAATCTGTGATTCACAGAAGTAGGCCAATGCAATTAGTGAAATGTTAAGCCTTGTAATGGAATGTAACATGTGCTGTCTGCCTGATTCCATCTGCATCAGTTTCAGCATGGATAACGTTTCACAAATATGTTAGTTAACAAGCAAATATCAAAAGCTTTCAAAGAGAAGCCTTCTTAAAAACATTAGGCTGCTTCACCTTATGAATGAGTATCAGATTGTGTTGCTAGGAAGCCCCCAGGAGTCCTGAGCAGACACAGGACCTGAGCAAGGAGGGCACACTCCTTGTTAACACATAAGTACGGAAAGGCTGAAAGAGGAGAAATCCTTCACTTCAACCTTTGGCAATGTGAGTTTCCCCCAAAAAATCATCTCCAATGCCATCCTCTGTGATTCAACAAAATGAATCATTCTGTATCACAATCCCTTTCAAGGAGACTAACATGGATTAGGAAGAATAGGGTTTGAAAAATTTGTGGGATTTTTTTGGTTTTGGGGTGGGGTTTTTTTTTGGTTGGTTTATTGGTTGTTTTTTAAATTTTCCAGGTTATTACTGTAGAATGCCTCTTTCTTTGCATTGTTTTTTGAGTCAATACAGTGTTCAGACCTGTGGGTATATCTTTCAGGGTACTTTTTTCCAGTTGCTTGAAGATCTGGGTGCAAAACTACAGGTAACCCTGTGTGCTAGGCAGCTGTGCTCCTGATTTGCCCCTAGAAGGGGAAGAAGCACAAAGCTAGGTGCATGGACCTGGAGGCCATTTCTGAATCTAGCCATAAACATTTTACTGCTTTATCTCTGTCTTCTGCTTGTCTGGAGTTGTTGAGGCCCAGAGGTTTTAGATGTATTAGGCTGTGTCTTTTGTTTAGTGGCTTAAAGCAGAATGGAAAGGGAGCTAGCATTCATTTGCCATTAGACAGGTGTAAACTGCAAAGCTAAACAAAAATTAACAAATACCAGGCATGATTAGAATAAGAATCAGTCTAGAATGGGGAAAGCTCTGCAGGGAGAGCAACAGGGGTTGCCTTCAGCTTCAGACACTCCTCTCTCAGCTCCAGAGAATAGAGGGATGTCTGCCCTTTCCCTTTTTCTTAGGTGCCAGAGAGACTAAAATAGCCCTGTCAGCATGGTGCATGGAAAGATGCTTGGTAAAAATGCCATTTTCAACAGCAGTGGTGCTCTATGTTCCTGCTCTGATAACCAGATATAGAGGTAATTATGAAAAATACAATTATGAAACTGCAGATTGAAACACTCTCTTTACACTTCTTCTGTAGAGACAAAATGGAAGAAACACTATCTTTTCTGATAACATGCTCATTTTAGCTTTGGGGAGATATTGGGAGTTGTTATTAAATGCCTTGGATACGTTTGGGTAGAAAACAGGAGCCCATCACCACCAAACAGCCAGAGATACTTGCTCATGATGGTACAATTCCCAAAGTGATGGAGATGGCACTGAGCAAAATGACATTTCTGGAGGAAGTAATTTTTGGGTAAAACAATCTTATATAAACCCAATTCAATTACTGTTTTCTGTCAGTGCAAAAATATTCATCAACTTAAGTGATTTGAGTTTAATTCCTATGAAGACCAGAGCTTACCTTGTTGGGATTCCTGGATTTGTCATGCTTTTTCCTCAGTATAACTGAAAGTGATGTGAAATGCCTCCAGCTCTCCACAGATGACCTTTGCAAGGTCAGTATCAGTACTTTTATTGCCTCACCAAAGTCAGAGTATGTTCCACCTGTTTCCTTTGCATAAGTCTGAAATTATCAAGATTCCTGTCTGGTGAGTTGTTACCAGGAGGTTTCTGGTTTTGAATGCTTGGTCTTCCATCAATCATGATACTATGAAAATGTTTATTTCTGCCCTCCCTCCTCTTCCCAGTTTTCTTTTCAGGAGATGCAGATAGCATAGGAGACTCTAAGAAATAGTAAGACTTTCAAATGGCCAATGCCCTTTAGTTATTTGTTCCTCTCCTTTTTTGCATAAACTGCACGCTTTTAAGGAGTGAAAATCAGAAGCGAGCCTCCTGTTTCTGACAGATGCTGCCATATAACTGACTTCACACATCCAGCAAATACTGTGAGGGCTGTAAAGCGGATGCATATACTTTGCTGTTAAATTTTTAGCACAGAAAGTGTTAATGACAAACTGCAGTGTTATTCACACAGCAGCTTGATCTTTGTGTTCCAGTGCATGTACTGGGAGTGTTACTATTGCACTACTTACAGGGTTAGCACTTCACCAGAAAACTGTCTGGGCTTGGGTGCAAGTTGTGTTTGAAAATCCTTTGGTAACAGGAAAACAAAAGTTAAAAGTGCACCATGTGAAAAGAGCAAGTTCTGCAATGTTGTACACACTGGTATTTTTGTTATTGTCTACTGTGGGAAAGAAAAATACTTGGACATCAATGTAAAACATTTGCTTTACTCCTACATAGTTTGGACCATTCCATCTATCCTCATAAAATAATAGGAAAACATAAATTTCTTGAACTACACCTATTTTGATCTCTTATCCAAAATATTTGCTGTAATCTTGAGGCTTTTGCAACATCATCTTTATCTCTGTGTGTTTCTTCACGGAAACAGATTTTTCCAAGAGCGTTAAGTACCTAAGTGGTCTTTTTTTCCTTTTCTCCTTTTCTCCATGGTGGTTATTTTTTGTTTGGTTTTGGTTTTTACTGTTTTGATAACTAAGATAATCTCTAACCTACAAATTCTTGTGGAATTCTGACCTATTTAGAAATGTCTTTCTGCATGGCACATGGATTGACATATTATGGTACTTTACAATAAGCATTAAAATTGTGGATATACTGCTACCCATTAGTGATAGAGGCTCCTCTGAGCCCTATATATGTTAAATAATCAGTGCACTTCTGCAGAGGACTGAAGTTGAGACAGGATAAGGTATCTGTCTGTTTCCTCTTTTAGTGCTTAGCTTTTCTGGAAGTCTGTGATGAAACCACTCACGCGTTCAGACAATGTGCCCTTTTGTTCCCACTGATTCAGACAGCGGCAGGAAGAGGGGAAGGAAAGCAGGTTGCAACATGGGCTTGGAGGAGCTGACTGCGTTGTTAGGGTGGGGTTGAATATCAGATGTACACCAGACTGGTTGCAGTCCCAAAGGTAAAGCAGGGATATTTGTCCAACCCTGACTGTTAGGCTGTCTGTCAGCCCGTTTGCCTGCAAGCAGCTTTCTCACCTCTTTAACAATCTCTCACCTCTTTATCAATCTCCTGACCTGTCTGAATGAGCAATTAGGGAGCTTTTGCTTATGCAGGTGGTCTTCTGAGTTCGTTAGAAGTCACACAAGTCATCCTTGTCTCATTTCGATCTCAGTGTCCCTGTCCAGATGCTTCTTTCTCCTCAGGCATCAAATACCAGTTGCTCAGACATGGCATGAGATCCTTTCTTGGGGTGGCAGTTGGAACTGGAGAGACTGTCTACGCTAACAGCTAAGTGGGAGCTGATATTTGAGAGCTCAGGCTGAGTGTCAGGTCCTGCACAGATCCTTGCAAGAAAGCTTGCGGACTCAGTGCATGCCTGAAAGTGAGAGAAAGACACAGCACTTAGTTGGGTACTGCTATCTCTTCCCAGATACAATTTTCTCCTCTGTTACTGATTGCAGCATTCCCAGATATGCGATGACACTGTATCATTTCCTTTGGTGCTGAGTGTGAAAAGCAGAGAGTCTCCTTTAAGTGGTGAACATTATCTGCTTCTCGCTGAAGACCACATAATCCTGACAAATGGATTTCCTATCTTCGGGCAATAGAAAAACATTGAAGAATAAGTTCACCATGCTGCACATGACTCCTCTTCCGTACTGAGTACTCGATGGGTACTTTCTGCTTTGAAATTTCCACTTTCATTAAGCTGGTAAACTCACTAAGTTCCTTTTAACTGAAGCCAGACTCTGCTATTACACAGTTTTTCAGTAATGAAAGAAATGGAAGTAGCTTTGTATTCTTCATAGCTAATAAAATATTTTGCAAACTTTTGAAAGCTGTTGAGTTCAAGTAACTGAAATTAAAGTTGTACATTTAAGGAAGGCTATATATAAAAGACAAACACTGTTATCTGCCTACCCCTTGCAGTGCTGGTAAGGGTAATTCTGGCCAGAAATGTAATGAGAAGAGTCCATAGATTATAAAATCCAACTAGAGAGGTAAGGATCTCTTTTCTGAGTTGTCTGTGGAGATTTCTCTCCCTAGTGGAAGCTGAAGGGTGATATTTCTCTTTTCAACCTGAGATGGATCAGTTACCTTCTGATACAAATCAGAAGGTGTAAGGGATTTCAGGACACTGCATGAGATGCAGTGCAGTGCTCTGGAATGAAAAAAACAGTAAGTTTCTCAAGGAGTAGCTATATGTGCATGTTAGTGTTTGAAAAACAAATGAGAATTTTGTCACCTGCAGAAGCCCAATTGTTGATTTAGTTACTCAGTGGTGCAGGAATGTATTTGCATTCTTCTGGGGGGAAAAAAAAGGTAAAAATTGTTGGCATGCATCCTTCAGGTTATCATAGTTTACACTTTCTCACAGGTTTATTTTATCTAGGTCCTTCTACTCCTAAGCAAAGAACTGAACCAAAAGCAATCAGGCAATGCAAGGATTATCTCTTTTAGCACAATGAGTTGCTGGAAAGAGGATTTGCCCTTTGTATGACTTTGGTTGCAAACACTTTAGGGGACCACTAATGCTGCAGATGATGTGTTTGTTCCATCACTGAAGCTGTCTTTGACCTCATTTCTTCATGTTACCCACCAACTAGAGGCTAATCAATAGGAGCTATTTGCAGTTACTTGTAGCCCAATAAAAAACACAGATAATGCAAAAATTGATGTTATATGTACAAGAACATAGTAATGATTTTTTTTGTGTATGTCTACTGCTGCTGCAGATTACAGTGTTAATGTTAGAGTTATTTGAGTTGGAAGGGACCTCTTGAGATCTTCAAGTCCAGCCCTCTGCTCAAGAAGGATAGCTAGAGCCAGTTGCTCAGGACCAGTTGGCTTTTACTATCTCCACAACCTCTCTGGGCAGCCTGTTCTTGTTTTTTACTCCCTTTGCAGTAAAACAAAAGGTGTATTCTTGTGTTCAGATGGAATTTCATGTGCTTTAATAATATATCCATTGCCTTTTGTCCTGTCCGTGGGCACTACTCAGCAGAGTCTGGCTCCATTATCTTTACCCCTCTGCCCTTGGGTGTTTATATACATTGATACATTTATATACAGCAAAGAACTTACTCTGGAAATAATAAGAATATTTATACAGCAAAGAACTTACGCATTTAGACTTGGCAGTCCTGGGGTAACAGTTGGACATGATGACCTTAAAGGTGTTTTCCAACCTACTTGATTCTATGATTTTATGACAAGATCCCTTGAACCTTCCCTTCTCCAGACTGAATTTCCCCAGTTCTCTCTACCTCTCCATGCACAGAAGATGCTCTAGTTCCTTAGTAAGTGACCGGCCTCACTTCAGTAAGTCCATTATCTTTCTTCTACTGGGGTGCTTGGAAATGTGTCTGGAGCTGGTGAAGGTACACTCACCATCAGTGAGAAACTAAAACTGTGGATTTGTGCTATCCTTTGGGAAAAAAATTGCTATCAAATTATGAAAATTCAGTACTTATTCCAGGAAGGTGTTGTACAATCTCAGTATCTATGGCACTTGATGTGAACTCTTATCACTAAGCAAAAGACTTTCAAATCGTACACAGCAGAAATTCGAAAACAACCTAGCCTCTTCATGATTTAGTCTTAAAACCACTTATTCCTTAGTGGCATCCTTGCAGTGGCCAAATGATGATGTTAATTTTTAACAAGCTGAGTAAAGAAGTCTGGTCACAGATGCGAAAACCACTGATGTTATGATCTATAGCTATTTTTCTCCTTTTCCTCATTGGGAAACAGTCATGAAAGTGATCTCTTTTCTGAATTTGAAATCAGTGACTATCTTCCCGGTCACAGGATGGGAGGGTTATTTAGCAAGTCCTGAATCGCTCTTTGTTTCTGAAATAGTGAAGGAAGAAGCCTGGAAGCAAAGTTCCATGTTCTTATGGATGACATAAACACGGAATTTAATTCTCAGTTTATGAGTACTGCTTACAATCACCGTGACTTATGAAAGTTTATGAAAAGTGCTGTTGTAAGTAGATTTGCCAGAAGAAATATTTTACCTAATTCTTAGAGTCAGGTATCTTTCAGGCAAAGAGGGCAAAGACTGTTGAATAAGTAATCCAGCTGTATTTGACCTCTGTGCCTCAGAAAATCACTGGAAATTGATATTTCAATAAAAATATCTCCTAGTTCCACATAGTTAAAGTCATAAAGTCAATGGAAACTATCAGTAATTTTGTGAGGCCATGTGTTTATTTGTACTATCTACATCCTCATTCCAGAAGAGTCATAGATTGCGTCTTCAGAAGATTAGGACTTGTCAAATTGGCATATCTGATCTTGGTTTTCAGAGTGAGACGTGTTCCTTCAGATCCTGTTTTCCAATGCTTTCCAGCTTTTACTACGCTTTTATCATGGAAAGTTTGCTGCCCTCCCACTCTGGGAGCCCATGTGGTAAGCAGGGCTCTACTCAACATACCCAACATGTCAGGCCCATTGGAGAATCAAATCAGAGGCTGTATGTGAGCTGCTGGAACATGTCCTTTGAAGGCAGGTTCCCTAGCAGCAGTGAAGCATCGCAGTGTGCTTGTCGCATTCACAGGGGCTTATCTGCCACAAGTCATGTTCCCCCTCATGTGACCTCTACTTATGAAAAACCTGTTAAACTATAAAACTTGACAGAGTAAACTATAAATAAACTATAAATAATTTGGAAACTTGTGCTTTGGTGAATGATCCAGTTTTCCATAAGCATCCACTCAAATTTTCAATTTGCTTGGAAAATGAAGTAATTATTGCGAAGCAACAAAAAGCCTCATTGTGGCTTAAGTTTTTCGCAAGTCCAGCATGTTATAACTGTGTTCCATGCTTAGTTTCAGTTTCTAAAATATTTCACTGCACTATTTCACTGCACTAAAGGTGTTTCAGCTCTCAGTTCTAAGGAGGTTGTGCTCTTCTGCAGGAAAGTATGAGTGTACTGGCAAAAGGTGACACTGAGGATGGATTTATGTATGGCACTTCTCTCCTTGTCAAAGGTTGTGGAAGCAGGGCTTTTAGGCAGGCAGGAAATGCCCTCCGGCTGGTACAATTGATCATACCACTTTGGATGATCAGGTGAAATGCATTCATGGCATTGGTTTATATCCAATACATTAATTTTTAAAAAATGAAACTGTTCCCCATAGATACTGTGTGGGATTCATGCAAAATACCCTGACTGCCTGCAATCTCTTGAATATCAACATTATACATTTTATAAGTAACATATAAAACGACTAGGCAATCAAACAATTAATTGATTTTATAATGAAGCATGAAAATCTAATAGACGTCGAGATAGATTTGAGAGAAGCTGGTGTCTGATCTGATTAAGATCAATGTCATTTTGTGCTTGTTAGAGCCCATAGGCTGCTGGTGCAGAAGTAATTAGCCTTAGTTTAGTGGTCACAGAACAGTTTGATAGATTTTACTTAGTGATACCTGAATGACAGCACAGTCTTAAGGGTCATCAGTGTGATTGTTTTGATGTGGCATGACTTATATCATGGGGAGAAAAGTGAGACTGCAAAAAAGTCGATGCTTTATGTTTCAGTCACAGACTAAGTTCTTTGCTGAGCTGGAATGGGGAATCCATTGTGTCCTTATGGGTAGACATATAAGAGTACTTTGTAGAAATGGTAGACATCAGTAGACTCCAAATTTCTTTGGTTTTAAATCATTTCAATGCACAGCAGGTCCACAAAAATTCAAGATGCCCAACTGCTTTTGCTTTAGCATGTGGATTGTTTTTTGTTTGTTTTCTCTCTGGTGCTTTCCATATGAACAGTGACCTCTGAAAGATGAGTTTGTGAGGCTTCTCTACCTGGCAGGTGGTTTGCATCTAGATGTTGCCCCATGGAGTTGAGTTAACACAATCACGATGAAGTTGAGTCATGTGTTTAAAGGATTTTTTTGATTTATAGAGTGATACAGACAAATGTCAGCTTCCCGAAGTTGCAATTGTATCACTGGGTAAGAGCCTGGGTGAGGAAATGAGCTTTACCTGGGAGTACAAGTGTTAAAGGTGTTAATAGAAGAATTTGTAGGAGAGTAATAATTACACTCGCATGGTGCATGTTACAAGAATCTCTGATTGAAGGGGACTATTATGAAAGCTAAGCAGAATTTGGAATTGCCCTGCACAAGAAAGTCTGGTATTTACACGCAGAGCTTTGCTGATATGAAATGCTCATGTTTCAAGATTTTTTCCCAGTGAATCAAAGTCCTTAAAAATCAGGGATTTACAAATGTAGAAATACTTGCAATGTCAACAAAATACTTTAATAGTTCAGAGTTCATAAATTGCACATGACTTGAGTTGGTGAAATCTCCTAGGGCACTTTAATTTCAGTACTTACCCAGATTTTCTTATTTTGAGTGCCCTGGAGGGGAAAAGTGTCCTTAAAAAAAAAAAAATAAAATCTTTTATAGATAAGCTTACCTTACTAAAATAATTTTTCTCTTTATAACTCACTTTCATGTGACTTCTACATATCAATCAGTTCAGAGAGAGAGAAACTTGCATTGTCATCTCTGAATGAGAATGTAAGTCAATATATTTCCTCTGGAGTAAAGGGAGAGGTAGTTTGTTTTGTTAACTTCCAGAAAGTAAATCATGCCAGCTGGCTCAGCAAAATTAAATACACTTACTTCTGGATAAGCCAACCTGAAATGAAATTGTGGTTGTGTTGTGGTTGTGTTTTTTAATGTTTCTTGTCTTTTTGGTTTTGCTTGGTGTTATTTATGTATTTATTTATTTATTTATTTATTTATTTATTTATTTTTCTTATTCTAAATTAAACCAGAAAAATTCCCATAAAATCTGTTATTCCCTGGAAAATTTATTGAAAATACATTACTGTTGGAAATAACCTCCTTAGTTCTAGCATTGCATAACATTCAAGATGTATTTAGTCCTTTACTGAGTTCTTGTTTTTAGCAAAACTTTGTTAAGTTAATACTCATCTGCAATATCGCACTGTTTCTTTTTCATTGTGCTACTGACTTTCTATGTTACAACTAAGATGCAGTATTAAATGTTTTAGATTTTTAGGCATGGTAGGAAAGGGAAAAATCAGCAACATGTTAGGTATAGAAAATATTTGTGAATACATTTGGGAAGATAGCTTAAGAGAGTCCTTAAGCAGGCTTCCCCAAAAGGGAAGAAGTACTTACACAATCAAATATGGCTGCAAAAATTAATCCATTTAAATGATTTCTAGCTTCTTTTGCTTTCTGTAAGATGTTCCTTCATGTTCATAAATTCTGCTTTTATACTTCTCAACAAAATCTACCAAAATATCCTTTCCCCCAAAATAGTGATAAGGTTTAGCAGTGCTTTTTTAAACTTCCATTAACCACAAAATTTATTTGTCAGTATAAGGACTCAGAAAAAAACAGATTTTTGGAAACTAAATCTATACCCCAGGCTAACCTTTCTAGATACCTACTTCCCATACCTTAAAGCCAAAGTTTTTTGGAAGATATTTTTGTAGGAGCATTGGTAAACTTAAAATTATCCGCTCTCTGGCAACCTGGTTGTTAAGTGTGCTGAGTTACCACTTTAAAACAAAAATACTTTATAACCATTAAAGTAAATTTCATAAACAAAAATAATTTCTAAGTTTTCAAAGTTTTGGCTGTAGTGCATCTTTTAACGAGCCAACTATTAAACCTGCTCAGTGGCTGTAATTTTTATGCCACAAAGGAAAAAGGCAAACAAATGTGCCTTCATCAAGGCAATTTGACTTTATTTACTTTATTGTTCTTTTCAGTTCTGCCTGAGATGCATTTTGCCTACAGGCTTTTCATAAGATGTATGACATCATGAGGAAATACCATGTCCAGAAGCAATCATATGATATCGACTTATGCTTACATTTCCTTTCCAGATGTGACCACTTCAATTAGGTGGATGTGGAGCAGCTGTGGGAACAGATAAAAGAGTTTTGAATCCTTTGGAGAAAGCAGGAGGCTCTTCAGGTGGCACAGAGGCAGTGGTGATCTAGATGTGGGGAAATGCTTCTGCTGGGAAGGGACTGTAGAAATCACTATACATGCCAAATCTGTCAAGACTAATAATTAGTATTAGCAGTAAGTTATGCTGTTATCATCAGATCACAGTGAAATAGTGACAGCAAATTTAACAAGATGTTTATGTAGTTAATCCTTCGGTTGATGGATGGTTTATAAAGTGCTACAGTGGAAAGGAAAATGTCATGCTTTCAGTGAGGCCACTCAAATGAAATACAAACAAGTTGGTGCATGGATAAAATTGAGGCTGTACAATTTTGCACACTGCCACACTATGCACTGTGTTAAAT